CCCCAGTCGGCCTCAGCAGATGGCCGCTCACACTGAGCCTGGTTCTGCTAGAGGTTTCTTCCTGTTAAAAGGGAGTTTTTCCTCTCCACTGTCACTACAAGCATGCTTAGTGTGAGGGATTGCTGAAGAGTCAATGAGTCGATGCATCAACTGGTTTTCCTTAGATAGAAAACTTTGAATCAATCTGACTAAGATGATCTGGATGTGAATTGGCTCTATAGAAATAAACTGAATTGAAGCTAGCAGCGGTATATTTCATTCATATTTACTCAAGTGCTAGATTGCTTAAAATCTTCAATAATTTACAAAGAGCATCATCTTAGTCGAGATGAGATAATATTAAAATAACATACCTCGTAATAACTTCCCTTTTTCTAATATCTTCAGCTCTGCTGCTGTCAGCACAGGTGAGCTGGTGCCAAAATAAGGACTGGATATGAACCTGACATGTCCTCGTGTGTTAGCACTTAGCTTGTATTAAAAACGTGGACTGGTGATTGTTATGTCTAATCACCATGTTTTTTTTTATAAATCAATAATTGGAATGTAGTTGAGTTTTAATGTCTGTCATTTTTAAGTGTGAAAAATTGTGGATATGTAGTGAGAGCGTGTGAAGACAGTGAGATGCGAGAGTCTCACGCCCAGTGTGTGAGCCCTGAAAACATTTAAGCAAAGTTTAAACCAGCGTGTCATGAAAACACTTATATCTGTATTTAAAGTGTCTCCCTAGTGCTGTTGAAATGTTTAATGTCTTAAATGTCTGGTTTTATCAGATATGAGCTGAAAACTGTCAGAATCAGCAGAAAGATTTGAAAACATCAGTTTGTGCAGGATTACTCTCTATTAAGTGTTTCCATTAGAATTACTGAATTAAACCAACTTTCTATTAAGGCTTTAATTTATTGTTTTATCACTGCAAAAATGAGCTAGAAATAAGTAAAAGCAACTTAATTTAAGTACATTTACCCTTAATCTGAGCAGGTAAATAAGATGATCTGCCAATGGAATGAACATTTTTACTCTTAAATTAGATAATTAAATAAAATGCACTTGAAATAAGAACATTAATGTGTTTTGCTCTTATTTTAAATGTAAATTGTCTCGCTCCACTGGCAAAGAGTCTCACTTCCCTCCTCAAATGAAGAACAAGTGCACTGATTTTAAGAAAGAAGGACTTATCTAGATTTGGATTTTTTCCAGTGAAAACAGGTAAACATAGATGAGGCTGTGCTGCATATCCACAGCCAGACTAGAACCACTTAGTGCCTTTTATTGGCCCCCAAACACAAACAGAGACAAAGTAGTAAAAAGTGTTTATTTCATCACTCCCCCGATTGTTTGGCCCATATTATTAAATCTCTGCTATAAGTTAGATATTTACATCATTAAGGGCCTCTGATATTATACACCGTCTCCTTTAGAAACATCTTCATTTACGTCGTACAAAATGTTGCAAACATGATCAAGAATAAACCAGAATAACCCCCCCACCCCCCACCGTTTATATCCCACATGATTATAAACCCAGCTGATCACAGACCGTTACCAGTTCACAGTAATCTGATTACCTGACGATATTCCAGTAAGGCTAGCAGTCCTTTATGGTTTTCATAGTTTCAGACGTGGAGAAAAGGAAACTGTGCTTGGAATGGGTTAGTTTGGAGAAACAGCCACAGGTTAGCGTTCCTTCCTTTTAGCTTCAGAGTGCAAATTAAATTCCAGCCGAACGAGAACAACTTAAGCTAAAGGTACAGAGGAGAAGCTATGAGCCTGTTAGAGTCACTGCAATGGAGTCAATCACAGCAATACAACCAGCTGCCAAGTGAGAAAATCAACTACCTCGTCCATCGTCTTCAGCTCACATTTCTCATTTTTCTGCACAGTTTGATGGAAGGAAGCACGGAGTAAAGCCATGGAGTGTCGCGGACCAATCAGATGGTCTGACTTTGGTAATACACGAGCAAATCAGATTTAAAAATGTCTGTGAAATGATTGCGTTCACCTTCCTGAACCGACGGTTATAGCAAAGAGTAGAAACCTAAGAAAACAGAAATAAAAGCTTGTAAACAGCCACCAGGAAAGGATTAATGTTAACCCCAACAGCTCCTCCTGAGGAGCGGCTGGCTCAGCTCCTCTTCCCTGGAGAGGCAGAGTTCCTGCTCAATCCAGGCCTTTTTTTATTGGGCTGAGCGCCTCAGTCGAGTCATTCAGGATAAAACCTGCCGCTCGGATACATTTAGTGGTGCATGTCCTCATGGAAAAAAAAATAAAAATCACCAGATGTTTCTCCATCCAAGGCTGGATTCCTTTAACTCTTCATACGGCGACGATGTTGTTCATCTCCCATTTCTGGGTGCTTTTACTGACGTCGCAGTCCGATATGAACACTTTGTGGAGCAGGTCTGAGCGGTCCAGGCATTTACCTGCAGAGAACAAACCCATCCATCAGCATCACTGCAAACCTTTAAAAGCTTTCCTCTACAGTTGAAATTATGGGGCTCTGTTACACTGTGCTGTTTGGTTCTGATTGGTGACTGCATGAACCCGCCATATTAATCACTGATGAGGAGAAAATACTACATCCTGACAGTTTAGGTCCTTTTTATTCATCCACTGGTTCAGGAATCTGAGAATAAAAGGCTTCAATACATAATAGTGATGGGTCCATTAACCCTGATACGTGGGTGCATGCGTGGAGCCCATAGAGCTAAACTCTATCGATGCATCGGTCGTTTCCAGAAAGTCATGTGACCGATACAGGAGCTGTTTCTAACTGACTGACTCACTAAACTCTGTTTAAAAACGCATCTGTCAACATGATGCAAAAAAATGTTTCATATTTTGCGGTCTATTATTAAAATGATCCCGAATTTTGCAGCAGCTTAAAAGGAATAGGAGCATTTCAGCCGTTGCATTTTTATTTTAATTTCCTCGTTGTGTCATCCTTTTCCTCTCAGTTATCACTCTACTTATCTGAATTAAAGTTAATTTTAAATTGACTCTTAGTTTATTTACTGTTTTACTGCACTTACTCTTAAAAATAAGATTTATATCCTCGTCAACCAACATCTTCATTCACATTTCCCCCTAAATTCAATCAGCTGCCTGTAGTGTCTTTAAACGTCCAGCAGGTGTCAGTATTCTGTCAATATTAACGCAGCATCAATACAGTTTGGCAATAAACGCTTCCAGATGCCTCATTAACCATCACTTATACATAAACTGCACCAGTAGGGGGCAGTCTTGTCAACAATAACACCTTACATCTTTAAGGAGATCTTCTTCAGGGTCAGATATTATCAAACGGTTAATTTAGAAATAGAGTACAGGCACAGATGAGAAACTCTGCCTCAGTGTGAGGCTGTAGCATCGATCTTCACCCTTTTTTCTAATCCAGTCCTCTAAAATGGAGCCTTTAATATAATCTGTAACAGACTGTAACTTTATCTCTATATATCAAACTGCCAGAACTGATCTTAAAATCAACAGATTAGCCCCTAATTTAAGGTAAATCAGATTATCAGCCAGTGGAAGTATGGGGATTTTTTTCCCTTAAGATAATTAGGTGTAAGATAATTGAGTTGATTTCCTTATTTTAATTTTAAATAATCTTATTCCAGTGGGAAATGATCTGTTACCTATTTCAAGAAAACTAAATTACTTATATCTCAATTTTTGCAATATGTCTGTTATAAAACTTTATTTAGGAAATGAATTTATGTTCAAATCTATTCTTTCAAAAATATCTTAATGATGAAAGAAAAGAAAAAGAGAAAATGTGAATAAGGTTCTGGTAGGGTTTAAACTCCAGAGCTCAGACACAGACTGGGTCACTGGAACCGTGTGGATTTCTCCTCAGATTCATTTCCAGGTCGTTTCTCTAAAGTCTGAATGAAGGACAGCGCCATCAGGTCACCGAGCCACAGCGGAGCTCAGCCTCACTGATCCAAACTCCCTCTGGTGGGAAAGAGCGAGAACTGCAGACATTTACCTGTTGGAACATGAGTGAACCGATGGAGATCCTGAAAGCAGAGCAGAAACAGAGGGCAGCTGGTCAGCTATTGGCTGGAAGGGACGGCGATCAGAGGGTTAGCGGTGGAGAGGCTCTCACCTTGAAGTAGCTCCACTCTGTGTGCTGGTTCCTCTCACAGTGTGTGATGATGACGGCTGAGTTCTCCCCTCTGGTCAGGCACTGGTCGTACTGCATCAGCTGGTTGGCTTCATTGATGCGGAACAGCTGCAGAAACACGCAGCATCTGATTAAGATTCTATGATTCGATGGAAACATGCTGCTCTTCAGCTGCAGCACATTAAAACACAACCATTAAAATCATGTTTCATCTAAATAATGAGACACGATGATCTCTGGAAGGAAGATTCTGACCCAGATGTCATCAGAGATCCTTAGACCCTTATATCCAAACCAAGAGAAACAGGTTTCTGACCTATAAACGATTTTAAAAAGCTTTAGATGTCCGACTCTGATTGTTCCAGGTCTATAAGCTGCTACAACATCACAACACACCTCCGATATTATCATCAGCACCCGTTAAACCAGGGGTTCTCAATGTCGGGTGATGAGATTACAAAAATAGACTATTTATCTAAGAGTTGATTCAATATTATGCAAACAATTAGATAATAACTTCTGTTCACAATTAACATAATCGAATGACTGATGTAAAATTGCCTTTTTATGCAGATAATATTCATTGACTGGAGGTTTATTTTTAAAGCACTATTCAGTGCATTGGAAATTCAAAGTGCTTCATATGAATTAAACAATAAAATAGAAGAAAAACAAAAGCAGAATAAAAGCTAATAAAGATAAAAACATGATAAAAGCAGGTAGTAAAGGAAATCAACCTTAAACTAATAATTCCTCAGTTATCAGTTTAACTCCAACAGTCAAAGGCAGCTCTAAACTAACAGGTTTCTAACTCTGACTCCAAAGAACTCAGGCTTTCAGCTCTTTTCCAGTCTGCTGGGAGTTTGTTCCAGATCCGTGGAGCATAGATGCTGATTCTTTACATTTGGTTCTAGTTCTGGGTGAACAGAGTAGGCTGGAACTAGAAGACCTGAGAGGTCTGGGAGGTAGATCCACTGAAAACAGATCTGTTATGATTTGAGATGCTGATCTATTCAGTGATTTCTGGACAAACAGAAGTATTTTAAAGTCTATTCTCTGAGATACAGGGAGCCAGTAGAAGGACTTCAGAACCAGGCTGATGTGCTCTACTTTCTTAGTTTAGTAAGAACACGGGCAGCAGTGTGATCAATTCTACTAAAGATAAATGCATGGATGAGTTTTTCTAGATCCTGCTGCACATTAGTCCTTTAATCCTGGAGATGTTCTTCAGGTAACTGGGGCTTCTCCTACTCTCCCAGAGCTCTTTACTACATTCAAAACTTGTTCCTAATACTGATATAAAAGATATTTTCTCAGATTAAAGGGCCTCAGAGGATCCCTTAGTGTCCTCTAGTGGAGGGAATGAAATAAAGCAGCTAAACACACACAGATATCTGGTCATTGTTACTGATAAAATCCTCACTTTAAAACACACTGTGATAAAGAATAATAAAATGCTCTAAAAAAGCTTAAACTGAAGCTGGGTTTAATTTTCAAAGCGACTTGTGTTTTTCTTAAAGCTGCTAATAGGTGGAACTGTTATTACTAGACACAATAAAATGATTAAATGCCCCATTAAATAATCTAAATAACATTCAAAGTGGTCAATTAAATAAGAACGTTACTAAAATTATTTAAAAATCTATATAATTACTTGACTCTTTGGTTATTAACAAATGTAGAGTGAAATAACTAGATGTGTTTTTAGGGCTCACCAGTCTGTGTCTCTCTAAGCTGAAATGTTTGGGAACTTCTGTGTTAAACAATAACTCAGAGTTCAGATCTTTGACAGTGGCTGATTTTCACACCATAACAGATGACATCACTGATCTCCAACATTGAGGAACCCGTGGCCCATAGATCCATCTGATCCCCTGATCCTAAACTGTTACTTCCACAGAAATAGTTCGACTGTTTCTGTTAAAGGAAAAGTCGCTCATATTCAGAATTCAAACCTCTGAAAGTACTTTAAATATGAAATGATTCCATCCTGTTCAATAAATGATCAGTGTTTTTAATTAAGAGTAATTTTCATGTGAATGTGCTTTACTGGAGGCATCCATGTTTGTCAAAGAACACTACTGCCACCTACTGGTTAGTGACGTCACGGTGCGGTATCGGCTGTTGATCAAGTCCCAGTGCTGTATCTGGTGTTTGTCACAACGCGCTATTATCCAAGTCATCTTGAAAACATTCTTCTTCCAAATGTTGGCTACATATTACGGGTTTTTTCTCTGGCCAGAAGTTCGATGGCAAATCCTCCCTCTTCAAGTTGGCGATCCAACGACCAACCCGTCCGTGGAGGATCAGGTATCAGAAAGGTGGAATAACTCTTTTTTTCACTTTTCCCTGATGTATTCCAGCATCCAGCTGCCATGCACGTGGGCATTGTCAGTTTCACTATAGCTCTGGTGAATTTCAATGGTGAAGTCCTCTGGAAATCTTCAATAATTGTTGTTGATTGCAGATGTGTCTAGTAGTTCCCATTGATTTAGCTTGTAAAGCGGGGAGAATGGCGCTAGGCTTACCGCACCGTGACGTCACTGCTGGAAGATGGCAGGAGGGAGGGGCTACTATGTTTGGGCAAAAATGGACGCTCCCAGACAATGATTTCGACAAAGTTATTGTTTTTTTTTTTCTTTTACTGATTAACGCTAAATTCATTAAATCACTGCAAACATATTAGTTTTAGGTATAAAGATGATTAATTGATTATTCATTGCTGTCAGTCTGGACAGACGTCCATAACAAGCTAATGGCGCTACCTGCTCTGTTAGATGTGTGCAGCTGACCTGGAATCTGTCTGAAAGACTCTTCCATGATTAAATACTGGTTTTAAACTGGAACTAAACAGATAAATTTAATCTAAATGAATGATTGAGATTTAATTAATCGTAAAACTGCTCCAGTCTCAAACATTTATCCGTATTTTCCTCCAGATTTCCTGTTCATAGTCGTTTCTATAGAAAGATAGATTCATCTTATTGACTTTTACCGGTAATAAACGTCTGCCCATCTGGAGTTTTTCAGACCAACTATAAGGTCAGGTTGTTACCTGGTTGCCCCCCATCCGGTGGCAGGGGCCCATTTCCACATTCCCTCCATTGGTGTGTCCCATGCTGTCAATGCAGTAGCTGGTCTCAAACCCTCGGATCTGCGCTCACAGAAGCAGCAATTATAAAGCAATCCCTGCGATTAGTAGAGCAGAATAGGTAGGACTGCATCATGCTTACCTCCCCCCACTCCACGTTCTTTGGAGGAAGAGGGTAGTGATGTGGGATGTCGTAGGCGATCTCCTCCATGAACCATTTGAAACTTTTGCATCGATGCTCCTCTCTGGAAAAGGTTTAAAGCAAAGTGAAACCATTTGATCCATGATATAATTAACTTGATTATTTTCCCTCAGCTGAAGGAACTGAAATCAAAGTAAAAGACAGTTTTAGGGGTGTAAGACGCCACCATCATGTCCCATCAGCCATTCACATCAGCTGCAAACCAAGAGAGACTGAATAAGAATATGTGAAGATAACCAAATTAATTCAAGGAGGGATTTTATTCACCATAGATGCTTCCATTTTTAAATGTATTCAAAATTTTATTGAGAGAATTTGTCCTATTATCTGCAAATAGAGCATTTTGTAAATGGAAATAAAAAAAACTGCAATGCAGAAATGAAAATGTGAAAAAGTTTCAATAAAAGTGACTTTGCCGTTTTCTGAAATAATTTTTTTCTCTTTATTTCATTCTAGACTCTTCTCGAAACAAGATAATCTGCTCTTGTTCAGTATATCAATCTCAAAACAAGAAAAAAAAAATACTTTTTGGACCAGATCTAAGACTGTAGGATGTAATTAGATGTCGACGTTTGCAGCGTTGTGTTTCATTCCTGATTAGTTCACTTGTTTACATTTTTCTTTAATAATCATTTCTTTCCAATTCATTATTTTATGGTTACTCAGAGTGTTCATATGACCGTTTTAGAGTTTTTCTGATATCCAAGTGTTAACAGAAATAAATAAATCGTGAAACAAAGACATCAGTGAGTGAAATGACCCTCTGAGGTGTAGAAGCCTGATTAAAGTCTGATCCTCCATCAGGATCTGAGCTGCAGGGAAGCAGGTGGTTCTAAGGACAGATTTGATCACTAATCAATATGATGCTGGAACATTATTATTCCATCTGACACTGCAAAATGGTCTAGAAATATTCTTAATTTCAGTAGGTAAATAAGATGATTTGCCAATGGAGTGCATCTTTTACTCTTAGAATAAGATAATTATTTATTATGTGCTTGAAATAAGACAATGCAATTGTTTTTTCCTATTTAAAATGTAAATCATCTTGTTCCATTGGCAGAGTGTCTCACTTACCTCCTCAATTTAAGAAAAAAGGACTTATCTAGATTTTGATTGTTTGCAGTGGGAGAACCACATATGGAGGCAATGTTGGTCTCTTTAGATGTGATCATGATGTTAGCAGCATTTCTGTATCATTGATTGATTGATTGATTGACTTTATTGATCTCACAGTGGAGAAATGTACTCGTTACATCAGCTCAAATAGTCAAAGAAGAAGAATGTGCCAAAGGAAGAAAAAGGTGAATACAGTACATCCACAGGTGACAGCTTTTTTTTTTATAGCAGGGTTATTAAATAGGGTGTTTACATGTGCAATGACCCTGTCTAATAATCCATACAGTGTTTGATGATGAACTGATTAGACAGAAAGAAGGACAGACAGCAGCTTAGCTTTAGCTGCTAATAACTTGATGCCAGAACCAGTTCTGTACCTGAAACGCTTCAGATCGCTGATGTCTCCGTAGGCCAGGGTCAGAGTTTCAGGACGGCTGGCGTAGAAGTAGTCCTTATAATCATCCCACCACACCTCCACCACACGGACGTAGTTCTGGGTGCAGACAGCAAAGCATGAAGCCAAAGCTCAGGATGATAAACGCACACAGAAAAAAAACAGCGTTGCTTTCTAAGTAAACCAACTGTGGAAAAAGGATTTTAGATGCTCAGCAGGCATGTTTGTCACATTAGATCCCCCCTGTACATCTGTTGGACGACACGTCATCAGCCGTTCTGTTATAGATGATGGTGGCAGGCCTGATAGATTGACTTTCAACTTTAATATGGGCTCAGAACCTTTATTGTTTTACCCCGTGTACTAAACCAGTTCCCTGACCGTGAACAGGACCCTGTGAAACATATGTGGAACCTTCTTAGGTCAGACTGTCTCTCTAGGAGAGGGTTTGGTTTTCTTTAGGAGCTAAACCCTGTTCTTTAGATCATCTCATAAATGGAGGTATGTTTTTTCTCTTTGCATTTCAAACTGTTCTCAGCAACACCTTTAGCTGTGGGAGACATAAAACTTAGTACAGGACAGGATGCCTGGGACGCAGCTTCGATCGCTGTTCTTATTCTGACAAGAATTTTACAACTGATCTCCTTTAACTGAATTTATTCAGGCTCATATTTCATTTTTTATTTGAAGTGTTTTGTCCTGTCTCTCTCCTAGTTATAGTTATGGGCTTAGCTGTTACTTTAACTAACTGGATCTGCTAACCTTTATCCTCTAAGGCAGGCATCCCCAACCTCGGTCCTTCAGGCCCGCTGTGCTGCAGGTTTTAGAGGTTTCCCTGCTTTAGCACAGCTGATTATAATGATTGCAGTAGAGCAAAAGCCTGTTAATCAGCTTTCAATTAAAATCAGCTGTACTGGAGCAAGGAAACCTCTAAAACCTGCAGGACAGCGGGCCTTGAGGACCGAGCTTGGGGATGCCTGCTCTAAGGCATGAACACTGTCTCAGAGCTCATCTGTTTAACTGTTTCTTTCCCAGACAGAGTCAGCTGTGGAGCTAGTTTAACGCCACCCTCTCTATCCTAGAAAGTATTTATATATCAGTTATTTTTTTATAGTCTGCTTCTGTCTCCTTGAACTCCAGTCGGCCTCAGCAGATGGCCGCTCACACTGAGTCTGGTTCTGCTGGAGGTTTCTTCCTGTTAAAAAGGGAGTTTTTCCTCTCCACTGTCGCTACAAGCATGCTTAGTGCGAGGGATTGCTGAAGAGTCAAGGATAGAATGCAAGCAAATGATTGCTGTGTCCATGTGTTCATCCAGTAGGAATAAATCTTATCTTGTAAAGTCAGCTGGTTTTCACACTTTGAACCATTAATCTGACTGGATGATCTAACTGAATTCCCTCTGTATGGATCCTTCAGATGACGCGTTCTGAATAGATGAAATAAACTGAATTGATGGACAAACAGAGCTGCAGGTAAGAATGACCTGGAAAGAAAACCAGACCAAGACAGATATGCCTGTTCTATGTAATCAGCAGCTGGATAGTCCCTGCTGATGGATAACATCCCCACAGAATAATGCTGCCACTCCTTTATTTCACAATAGAGGAGAATGTTTTGCTGTGTTCATTTTTTTGCAGTTTATCCAGTATTAGAAAGTCTGAGGAGTTTGAATGACTGTGCAACACCACCAGGAGTGCTTGTGTCGAAGCTCCTGAGGCTTCTGCAGTCCTACCTTTAGCGTGGGGGAGGAGCCAACGTGTGCAGGTGGGGGGTTTCCCTGCCAGCCCTGCAGCCTGTAGATATGGCCGACACGAGAACATGGCACAAAGAGCAACTGGCCGCCGCACTGCCAGATCTGCAGGACAAACCGGGAATCATTACGACAAAACAGACCTTCAGCAGCCAGACGAACACCACAGAGACGTCATCATATAATATCATACCTTATAGGATATTTCAAAGTTCTCTCCTCCCCATATCTGCAGGCCGGGATCATACAGACCCAGCTCAAAGAAGAACTCTCGCTCTATAGCAAAGAGACCTCCGGCCATTGCTGGAGATCTACAGCGACAGAAAACATACATCAACAAGCAGCTGATTAGCTACTGCTGCTTTTTAGAGGGAGATTATTAAGAAAACACAGATTTGAAGATGAGAATTAATGGGAGGCGATGTGAGCATGAGATGATCAGACAGACAGAGTCCCCCGATGACATGAGATTAAAGAGGAGGTGAAACCTGCCTGTAAACCAGAGGAAACGTCCAAAAAGCCAAACCCAGACTTTAGATGCAGAACCTCCAGGCCTCTCCCGGGGAGACAGAGCTGAGCTGCAGCTACTGCCCCGGAGGGCCGGGGGTCTGTGGGCTGAAAACAGCTTCAGTCCAGCTGAGCGGGAAAATCCAGCAGATAGCAGATCGTTTAGTAGGTTAGTTATGAAATTTGGTTGCTTAGATATGATATACATTACATCGAGCTGTCCTTATATGGTTTTTAGAGGCTGCTGGAACGTAGTGTATATCATAAAGAAATATGGCCAGTTATTCCAGTCCAGGTGAGTCAGGAGGTATTGCTGATTGGTACCTATAAGGCTCAGTTACTGTTTTTCTCAGGTTTTTTTCCCTGTCTCCGAGCGGGATTCTCTTCCAGAGCATGCTCCAATCCCACGCTCCTCTAGCAAAGCCGTTCTCGTCTCCTCCACCTTGGGGCTCGATGTTGAACCTCTGGCCGTGGATGGAGTCGATCAGAGGCACCGTACAAACAGTTCTGACAGTAGAGGGGGGGGGGACGTGCAAACAGGACACATGGAAGGGGTAGGGGGGTGGGGAGGGGGTGGAGGACACCAACCAAGACGATGCACGACACAGCACAGAACACGGAGGGTGTGGGAGATGGAGACAGAAAAAGATCAGGGGTGAGTTGAACATGCTGAGTGTAAGTACCGGTAGGGTTGGGTGGTATATTTTCTCTTGGCCTTCTCTTTCTGGCTAAGTGGGACTCTCTTCCAGAGCAGGCTCCAATCCCAGGCTCCTCTAGCCAGGCCGTCCTCATCTCCACCCTGCTGGGGCTCCATAGTGTACTTATTACCATCTATATAATCTATCAGGGGAACTGTGCAAACTGTCCTACATGTAAACACACACACACACACACCTTGCATTGAGATGTGAGGCTGCATGGAGGGAAACCTGCTCCGTTATTGTTGCAGGAAAAATAAAGACACATTTTGTTCATGAAAATGGGGGGAAAAAAACATATAAAAAATGTTTCATACTTCAGTAATGAGACATTTTATACATGATAAGCAGATAAATAAGCAATCCAGAAATGACACTTGGAAAAATGTTTCAATAAAAAAAAAAGAAAAAAGTTTTCAGTAACTTTTCTGTCTTCTCAGATTTTTATTATTAAAACAAATGAAATAATGTTTAATTGTCCACATTTTATTTTTTCACTAATTTTATTAACATTTTTTTATTACAGATTTTTTAATTTCAAAATCTTTTTTTCAACAGAATTTAGATTTTTTTATTTCTCTCTTTCAGATTAAGTTAAGATTTTTTATATTCTTTTTCTCATTATTGGTTGGGAAAGTCTGGATCGAGCTTAAAGTGAAGAGAATATGATGCTTAAAACTCAATCTGACCAAAAAAAACACATTCAATCTATAAAACCTGTAAAAGAAAGTTATGGAAAAAAAACTGGGAAAATCTGTTAAAACATGAAAAATAAAACATTTGAAAGAATAAAATCTAAAAAAATTAAATTGATTTTTTTTAAAGATATCTAAGAAAACAGCAGAGTATTTTTGTTTTAAACAGTTTTTAAAAGTATCATCCCTGGATTTCTTTTTATAATGTAAAAATACATTCTGTGAACAATTTCTATTTATTACAGGATGTCTTTTTATTTTTCTTTGCAACAATAATGGACCAAATTTACCTCTATAATGTAGCTGGAGCAGAAACAGCTTCATCATGATTATACTTCAGTAATGAGCAGCTACATGTCAATAAATCAGAACAGCATGAAAATAATCCCAACAGAGAATACATTGATTACAGATTATTGATGATAACTGGCAGATTAAACACTGATCTAGACAATAAAAAACATTTCAATGTAATATAATGACCTTCATGAAAACAGGAAGATGGAAAGTCTTCTTTCATAGATATAACTAAATTCCCTCAAGTCATAAATAAACACGTTAAAGAGTAAAAGGACTCTAAAAAGATTTTTCTTAAAGTTAAGCACAGAACACACCGAATCCGATTTTGCGTCCAATCCGACAGCAAATTGCGCCTTAAAGGTTGTGGCGTTTAGCGCTCATTGAAAGTCAATGGGGATGATCACTATAGACATGATTTCCTGAAGGGGGCAGCGTAGCTCCAACTGAGATAGAGCCTAGATCTATTTTAGTCGGACTACAGAATTCAGCAGCAATTTCATGGGTCTGACAGGAAGAGAGACGCTGTTACAAAATAAAACACATCCGCCTTGGAAAATAAAATAAAATCTATTAAAAAAAGAAAGAGTCATTTCTGGAGTCTGACATCACGTATATAGTAAGCAGGACAGACTGGAGCAAAAACAATGACTGAAGCATTAAAAAATTTTAAACTTTCCCCATGACAGGAGTTCAGGAGGACAGATAACAGATAAAGTAGTGAGAAGTAGTGAACAGTGCAGTTTATCAATCTCTTTGAAAAAAAAAAAAAGCAATAAAGTAAGGTGGAAGAAAACAGTCTCATTGGAATCTGCCTTTTTTTGTACACCGAACAACTAAACTGTTTGCAGTTGAAGTTTTTGATGCTGATTTTTTTGCAGCCTATTTGTTTTGTAGTTGAATTTTTTGCAGCTTCATTTCACCAGATAAAAATTCAGTGTAAGGAATTCATTGTGTAAAAGAATTCAGTGTTTAAAATTTGGTGTACAAAAATAGGCAGATTCCAATGAGACTTCTTTTCTTCCATACTTCTCTATCTGCTCTATAACAGATATGATAGAGAAGCATCTTGCTTTATAGCTGCGCCGATGATTTATTATTTAGCATTTTTTAGTCATTTGTATAACCTTTCATGATCTGTCAGAGTCAAAAGTGGGAAATTGTTTTAATGTGTGTATAGCACAGAGACAGAAGTGAAAATAATCTGCACAGTTCGGCCCATCCTGCCTAGTCAGACCCTCTCTATACGCGGTCAGTGGGACGTGGGAAAAAAATCAGACCAGAGATTAAAAAGTCATGCAGCCGGTGTGTTCAGGGCTTTATGCGTTAAGATTCCTGCTGAGCTTCACTTCTAAAGGCCTAATGAGGACAGCAGTCAGAAAACGGGTCCAGCCTACCTGTCCTCTGAGATGGGCCCAACAAGCGGAGCGTACCAGTTGATTCCAACCTCACAGTGAGCATCCAGGTAGATCAGAACCTACAAAATAAAAGCATGCTCCCATCAGCAGACGTTTCCTCTGCGGTCTTCCTTCTATTCTTTCCACTTCTTTATAATGCGTTTCCATCCTGGCACTGAAAGGCATCACAAACTTCACACTATTTGGATGTTTCTCAGTCAGAACACCTCTTATTTTGACAAAAGAATAATCCCAAAAACACTATTTTCTAAGTTTTTAGGGGATGAAACAGGTTAAAATGAAGCAACAACCTTTGTAAAATCCAAGCTCATGCCTTTAAACCAATGACTTGGAATCACTGCGGCGCAGCACCCACCACACCGCAACGGTAAGACCGGAGTCGGTGTGAGCCGGGGGTTATGCATGGGGTGGGTTTGTTCCACTGGGGGGAGTGAGTGTGTGTGATTTTTTTAAAGGTATAAATGTATGTACTGATATGCCCCAGTCAGATCTCTATCTCTCCGTCCGAGGACGTTAAATAAATTTAAACATTATCGTTTGCAATTAAATGCCTCCGACTCTGTTTCCTAACTTCACAAACGCTAATGCTTGATCTAAGAGGAGAAAGATGGAGCAGCAGAAGGACAAAACTGAGATTCTGAAAAGCCTCAGCGCTGAGTCAGTGCGCTGATCAAACCCGCTATCAAAGCTAGATCCCATGCTGAGAGACAGAGAGCAGACGCTGATACCTGTCCTTTGGTGGCCTTATTGGCTCCGATGCTCCTGGCCTGGATCAGTCCCTCCCTTTTATCATTTCTGAAGAGTTTCACCAGGCCGTTCCACTGCTTGATGTAATCCTCCAGACGCTCCTTCAGGTGGACTGCAGCCACATAGAAAACAGACATTTTCACAACCACTGGTTACAGTCAGACTCATTGTGATTAGATGGAAAGATGTCAGAATGTGGAGAGGCTGTGGATCATAGTTTAATTGCTTTAGTTATTAATGAAGCTGGTTTCTATATATTAGCCTGTAACATATTCCGGTGAGGCACATTTATCTGTGCTGCTAAATGCTTTTTTATCTTTAGGAGCAGATGATCTACGCCTCAGCTTCTAAATGAACAGCAGAGATGAGAGAAACGTCTGAGTCTGTCTGATGAGGGAATCTGGAGCTTTGTTCTCTTCCAGACATCCTGCGCTCACAGGGAAATCTGTGGGAACTGCATCACTACCGACTGACTTAATCAGGATATTTCTGATTGTTCATTGGGAAAAACATCTCTGACATTATATCAGTCCAGTCAGGAAGCATAAGGCAATTATTTCCAGACTAAATCAGGGTCAGGTGGGCCACAAGTTGTTTGATGAAATTTTGTTTTCTTGTTTTTTTTTGGGAACACAGACAGAACTTCAGAAAATGAGAACAAGAGCAGGTATTTGGGAATTAACAGCAATTTGGATGTACTTAAAAACGAGGAGCAGCGGAGGGAAACAGACGTAAAACGCTGGAGGAGAAAATATCCCATAAAGGAAACTGTAGTTCTATAGATAAAACAAACTATAACAGGTCATCCTCACATATTAATCCACTTGATAGAACGTCTGATTTGATAAAATATCCAGTAAAGCTCTCTGAGGGCTGGCAGTGGTTTCCTGCTGCTTTGCATAGCGGCTAAGAATCAATATAAAACATTTTCTCTAAGCACCAGAATATAAAATCTACTATTTAGTTAATGTAGGTATTTATAAATTGTTTAATCAACGTTTTAGTGGATTAATAATGATCAGAGATCTGTTTCTTTTCTTAATATATAAAGAAGTCCATCCTTTTTAGGTACAACCAGTGCAGTTCAAAGTCTTTAA